AAATATCAAAAAGGGGGTTCTTGTAATTAATTCTTTGGTAGTGCTTGTAGAGATAGACTTACATGATTTTTGAAATTGATTTCTATTCATTTAATTGAGAAGTAAACAAAACATTGTGCGCCAAATGCCCGTCAGAAATGTTTACGGCAACTATCGAAATAACATATTATTTAAAGGTGTAAGTCACAATCCTTCCAATAGAATGAAATGTAAGAGTTGCAAATGAGCTTAAATTTGGACTCCTTTTTCTACAAATTGAACGTGTTCGAGCGTGTTTTGTCAATTTTCCGGAAAATGATTACGGGGTTCATCTTGTATAGGTTGTAACAGAATAAGCGATACGTATTGGATGGTAGAAGCACAGATTTAAATTAGTATATTTAAATCTGTGGTAGAAGTAACAGAATAGCAACAACAACAGTCACTTCATACAAATAAGTTGTGGGCGTTTCGTTAAGTTCTCAGCAACAATAAGCCATAAAAGAATGGAACAACGCTTCTTCCTAGATTCGTAAAAAAACGAATCCAAAGTTCCGATAGGGCCCATATTTTTTTAATTTTTATTTTTAATTCTTTCTTGTCATGGTGACCCCCCTTACGAAAGTGGCGAAACGTTGACTTTTAGTTCAACGTTGACACGGTCTTATTCCCGAAGTTTGTATAATTCTTGGTCAAATAGGAAAAATTTCATGTATGCTCAGTGCATTTATGGGCAAAATTACCAAACATTTTTTAATGAAACTAAAAAAGCGGAGAGGAGTAGGCGAACTGGCCACCTCTATCAACAATTAAGAACTGCACGTGAATATGACATTGTTCGAAGTTAGTTTTTCATTCCCCTCGGAAGATCGTGCGCGATATACATTCGATGACGAGCTTCCCGTATGCGAATCTTCTGTATGCGGATCTTTATGGAACAAGTAATCCTGACCAAACACCCCTACTACGAACCTGATCGATTCTGTAGTAAAAATCGATGCCATAATCCAGTAACCACATGCCAAATAAATGTTTTTGTCAAAATCATCTAAAATGACAAAAAATATTATAACCAATGATCTAGGTGTCTAGGAGGAGGTTGGACCACTCGCCTCGGGATAGTGTTAGAAAGAAAACGTTGAAACTTTGAATGTACTGTATGTACACAAATAGTAGATCTTACTTGGCGGATAGGGAGTTATTACTTGTGGAATTAAGAACCAAATGAATTGTGGCTGTGATCTTAATTTTTCATACAATATTACCCTAAAATATTAATAGGAATCGAAGGACATCCTTGGAATGTTCTGGAATATTGCGAATCTTACTTAATTTCACAGGAAGGATGTATTGAATTTTGAATAGGTACCTTGCGTAATAGATGGTTACCATAACAAAGCGATTTTCCTAAAAATTAGTTGTTTGTGGATCCTTTAGAGATAATTAAACAAGCAAAATATTTAGAGTACGGCAAAAGTATAAATCCTCAAAGCACATGGTTGCAATATCCAAGCATATTTTCTTAAACATTATTTAAAACACCCCTAGCAGGAAGTTATAAACTGATAACTGTTTTAGCGCATTTTACAAGCTGAAAGTTATTTCATGAAGGTCGGAAGTGCAAAATTTTCTTCGAACATTTTTGAAATGGTAGAACTGATTTACCAATGTACATGCTGCAATTCTATTTCACTTTCAAGTGACATTTTGCTAATACCAACGTAAAAAATATAGGTTAGATCCTTAGGCTATGGAAGGAGGGGACCCCTAATACCCAATCAAATGCAGAATTTGAAGCCTTCTGCCTTTAAATTTTGTACTGTCTTTCCATTTTGGTTTATATATCTGTACCTGTATCCTTTAACTTATTTGTCAATCCAATACATGTTTGTTTTATACATACTATATGTTTTTTTTACTGACTTGATCAATGCCACATACCTTTGGTCTATGATCTAATAAAGTTATTATTATTATTATTAATGCTACAGGTTTAAGCAAATTTTCGCATGTTATTGGTGGTGAACAGTAAATATTTTGGTCAGTAATCTGCCTTTATCCCCGTTAACACAAATGACCCACAAATGACACAAAGCATAACATTAATTTTAAATATTAGACTGGTTCACTTTTCGATGTTTCTCTGTCCTAGGGGCATTTCAGACAACATTTGGCCAACAAGGCTTTTTTTACTAATTGGTACCTGCTGAACACGAATATCGATGTTGGCACCTCGAAATCTGAACAGGAAGTCCAGAATTCAAGATGGCGGCCAATTTTCGAAAATGTTTATCTTTTCACTCATGCGCCCGATTTTTTCGATCTAAAACCGAATTATAATGTTATTCCTGACGTACGTCACGATAATAATAGCTAATTTTTTTTTACAACAATGTAATAGTTTTTTTAGCAGCAGGATATGTAAAATTAAGAATTACGAAATTCCTGCCAAAAGGAGGACTTGCAAAACGATTGTTTCTAGTAATCCTGCCATATATAAGTATTCCCGACATGCGTTTATATTGCATAATTCTCCTTGTAAAGTTTTGATAACTACAATCTTTCGAATTTTATGTTAATTTTTATATGAAAAAAATGAAGGAGTTCAACTAAACTGCGGTGTTTCGGAAGATTCTTATTTTGCTAGGTATTAATTACCGCTACTCGGGATATATTATTATTATTAAAGTATGAAAGCACATAGAAAAGTGAATACAAATTTATTAACACCTTATTCTCATGGTGTTAAGTCAATCGTCTTCTTGAGAATTAGGTAGTACAAATCAATTGAGCCTTGCGACATTTTTACAAAGTTTTGACGAGCAATCCTATTTACAACGACAAAGGACGATATCTAGAGCAGCCTTCGGAATTAATCTAACGTTGTGAGAATGGGAATGTAGCCATTTTCAATTCTTTCCCCAGAAAATTAAGGATAGATATGCTAGTCTGAGCGACATTTATGATGGGGTATGATGCCCAGCGTGAACAGTAAAGAGAGCGCTTTGGAAACACTCACTGGTTCATATCCGGGTTCGGATATAGATATTTGTAAATGTCTAGTGGGCTGGGTTGGTAGACCAGCCTTTCCTGAAACCCCCCTGCTTAAATAAAAGGTCAAAAATAAATAAATAAATAAAAATAAATGTATCCAAGCGTGGAAATTCACAACGGCAATGACGTGACAGCACTATTCATGTGGTAGCGTAAAAGAAGGATATTCGTTACTACTCCCTTTGGTCAGTTCCTCTGTTCATCATTATGGATAGGAACAAAGACTATCTTTCTTGAAGTACCGGTCAGCAACCAAACTTAGTTTGCCAGTATTTTCTTGAAGTGATGAAAAAGCAACAGAAATACATCTGTATCTGTAGCGTTATCCTAGTATCCGCTTCCGCTTCTAAGGAGGAAATCTGTGTCGTCTGACGGTTACAGAAAACTTTTCTTTCATCACTGAAGCCTCCAGTAATCACCAGTACGCCGTCAAATGAGGCCTCTTCAAGGTGATGCGACAAGAACTCGATCAGATTTCTTTTGTTTTCCTCTAATGAAAGGAAATTCTTCCAAATGTGAGGTAACTGAACATCGCGGATATCTATCACACGACGCACAGGAACCAAAATGCTTGCCAAAACAGAAATAATTTAATAATTACATGATGTGAAGAAATTTAAACAGTAGCCATAGTATTATGAAAAAAAGGTTTCCACTTTTACACACTTTGACGTTAGAAAAGAAAAACTATGGAATCATTGTTTAAACATTTGTTCACTATTATTATCGTGCCGTACCTCCGTCCGGAATAACATTATAATTCGTTTTTAGATCGAAAAAATCGGTCGCATGAGTGAAAAGATCAACATTTTCGGAAATTGGCCGCCATCTTGAATTCTGAACTTCCTGTTCAGATTTCGAGATGCCAACATCGATATTCGTGTTCAGCAGGTCCAAATTAGTAAAAAACGCTTATTTGGCTGCTTTTTATAAAAGTGAACCAGTCTATATCCAATCTTGGATTTTTCTATGAAGTGTTCCATCTTGAGTATATATTGATGGTAGGTTCACCATGCATTAATCATTTGGCGATTTATTCAAAATTTGTCTTGGCCTAGAATTTCGAAAAAATGGCAGGAGTACAATGAAGAAGAATTTTGGTACACGGAGGTACAATTCAGAAAATCAGAACCCGGTATGTTAATTCAGTTCCGATAGCCGGCCCTTTTTCGTGGCCAACTTCACGTGGGAGTACTAAATCTAAATTTTTGGAAATTTTAATTTCGGGCAACTCTATGCGTGCTCGATTGTTGAGGGCAGTCTTGTATTTATATTAATTCTTTGTTCAAATAGAATCAGTAATTAATGATTGTTGGAAATTAAGGGCTGTTGGAATTGTCGCATAGTCCTTAAAGGACAAACAAGTCTGTAATGCATGGAGAAACTGTAGAACTACGTATGCAAAAAAAACTATTGAGGATTTCGAAAGCAATCTGTTAAAATAATAGAAATTGAAATCTGCAAATGCCACTAGCGATTCGAAAATGAGGAATACTTTGCAAATACGAATTTCTAAGTTTCTTGGATCTGTGGAGGCTTAGCATATCTTCTGGGGCGATTTTTTTATACCAGACTCATTATGTAGTGCTTATAAGGGATAGATGTTCATGTTCCACCTCTCCTCTAGTAACGCCGACATTGAGTAATTACTTACATAAGAAAAACAATTTATTTTCTTAGTGATACACAAATTTTTTCTAGTACGTACCTTTGTCGTCGTTATAAAATTATATGGCAAGCACATATACGTCATTAGTGCCGCTTCTGATATAGTTTGGCTTCGGTTAATTTCCTAACGAGCAGTAATTTTTTTAATGATATTAACCTTTTTTGCGATCCCCCTAAATACGATTATGAAACGTATCGATATGTCCATGAGCGCATATTTTTGCAAGATTAATTTCGAAGTCAATATTGATTGGGTTTCATAAAAAAAGTCAAGGTTGTGTAAAAATAACGCTATAATCTAACGTTATATATTTACATTATTTTGTCGACTGGAGTTGTTGTAATCTAAGTTAATTTCACCGGTATACATACGGACAGGTAGGGATAATTAGCGTAGAAATATATTCAGTTATACAATTACGTTTATTGCTGGAAGTCGCACTAGTTTCATTGTTACGTACCTCTCGGTAACGTAATGTACTTAGTTTGAGAAATGTGATAAATGATAAGCAATTGCAGTATGTAATACACCTGGATCGGTTATCATTGCGGGGGCTCTCGCAGGGCTCCAGTAAGTCGTGACTCGCGCTGTAAGCAAGTACTTAGTGCGTGATGATGCTGACTGTGACTTTTCTTAAACCGTGTTTTTAATCTCATTATAAAGTTCACACCTTTTGTACCTTGTGTAGTTGACGCGTTCGTAATTGCGCGTAATGTGAATGTGCGCTCGTAAACGTCATGGGTGAACGGCAATTACTACAAAGCGTGAGAATTCCGTATTTGATTTTAGGGGATACACAAACTCCCCAATAACCAGTTAAGGTATTTCGCTTTAGTTACACTTCTTGTTTGTTTTTAGCGATTTTGTTTTCCATTAAGCTAATTAAGCACGTGGTTGATAAACTTTGACAACCGTTTGTTAATTATTGCACTATTTCTATTTTAGTCACCTCTTGTGGAAGTAAAAGCGCCACCAAGAATACCTCGTGTTGCAACATTATAAATAGACTAACTGCTGTTAATTTTTAACCCCCTTCATCTTCTGTCATAAATTAATATCGGCTATTTTTACAGGAGTCGAAGGCGAAAAGGAAACCGCCGCTCTTTAACAATGGAATCAATGGATGTGGAACAGAAGCAAAGCTCCCCGGGCTTAATTGAAAAAGCCACGGCAAATACCAACCAAGAAAATGTAATTAAAAACAATACGAGCTTTATTAAATCCAGCGACGGTTACACAAACAACTTCGCAGCAAATGTGCAGAATTCCTCTAATTTGAAGCGAAACAATTCCGCAAAAAGTAGAATTAACAAGTCTCTGTATTTACAATTGCACCGCCAGGCTTCACATCCGTGCACGTCAACTGTCGATAAATTAAAAGGCAGGTATGAAGCAACTGATAACGCAAAGGCAAACTTGGTCACTGATTACACAGCAAATAGAACAATCACAACTGAAAACGTAAACACTTCCCAGATTTTAGCAAAAGTAGAGGAACCGTCGAGGAATTCTGTGCAACCTTCCGCCACAGTTGAAGAACCTCGGATTACTCCTGCGGAATTAGAAGGGCCTTCTCCAGAGCAAGCACTTTCAAAGACAAAGTCGAACATCGAGAAACTACAAAAGAGTTTAGCATCGAAATTGAGTAATAATACGATACAGCATTTACGCAACAAGTACTCCCCGGCGAGCTTCGGTTACCCAAAAAGCAGCCTAAGAACGAATACCCCGAAGAAAGTTCAGTTTTCCGAGAACCTGTCCAAGATTCCACTACCAACACCGCGAGTTTCGATCCTTTCGAAGGAGCAGGCGCCCCCGAAAACAAGTGGTAAGGAAATCATCCACTCTGTTATTGTGAAAGAAGTCTCAATTTCCCCCGTCGAATCGAAACAAGAGTTCGCGAATGTGAAAGATGAAAATTCCAATGTTGTTGGAGCACAAACAGTTCCTGTAGAAACTAAGCCGGTGCCACCCGAAGAGTTTGTCGAAATTCCAGGGGTTGAGCTTGAAGTGCAATATGATAACATCAAATTTGCTGAACCGGAAGATAAGCATTTTATAGTGAGGCGCTGTTCGTCAGAAGATAGCATCGAGAAATTGGAATCGTTTCTTTCCGATTTCGTCATGGATAAGAAGACGAAGGAGCGTAAACGGAGCAATAGTTTTCGTCGACTGCTAACGGGTGGACTTTTTGGGAAAGATAAAAAGAAGTCGGAGGACAATCGGCCGAAAAACCAGAAAAAGGACAACGCGGTTTTTTCCGACAACGCCCAAAATGAGTCGCAGGTGTTCGACAGAAATGCCACGCATCGTAACACAATGGACAGTTCGGGAACGAGACGCGAGCCTCCGCAGAGGTTGGAGGAGAAGCCCCCATCTGGACCTTTGTATTACTATCCGTCGTCAAAGTCATATCGAAGAAGCGAGGAAAGGGACGCCTACACTGATATGAGCAGTTCGGGATCGTTCATGTCGAATAGACCACCGAAATATTCACCCGAACACTACCTTCCAATGAACAACGGGAGTACCGACAAGCCGCTATCCTACAATGGTGTCAATCGATATTTAGACACAAGCAGCTCGTCTTCGAACACGATCGACTTTGACAACAGAAACTGTACGTACCAGAACGCTTTGATTGCACAAGCGGAAATGCGACAAATTCGTGAAAACCAAAGCAGGTTGCAACACAATATTTCCAAGAAAAACGTTTCCGATAATGGTAGCGACACATCGGGTAAAAGTTCAGATTCCCCCGAGCGGTTCCGGGAGAGTCCTCTGCACACATCGAAGAACATGCAGTTGGTGAAACCGAAAGCTGTAATACCCATAAATACGGACAGACCTCTGCCGAATCCATATCATTTTGAGAAAATTCACAATACCGAAAATTACGAAAATTTGGAACTCTCCCAAACGTTAAACCGAAATTTAAATTTGGGCGCCTCAAAGCCATGCCCTGACAAATCTAACTTGTACAATAAGGATACGGGTGGCCAAGTGGTAGTGGACGAGGTTTACGGGACGGTTTTTGACAGCATTTCTCCAAGAAGCGTGAACGAGAAAAGTTCATTATCACCTTCGAAACTGAAGCTACCACCGAATCGAGAAAAGGTTGAACTACAACCGAGACTTCGATCGCCAATACCGCAGGCTAAAGTTAGCACTGATAAGATTATTGCTACTGAATTACTTCGAAGTAAACGGTCGCCTACACCTGTCAGGGAACTCTCCGAACGGTACAATTCTCCCACACGACCTTCCAGTTATCAGGGACCGACGGTATACGAAAATTCGTTCCAATTCCCTTCGCGCATTTCCACCCCGGTACGTAACAAGGCCGAGTACATGCAATTAAATTACGAAGAGCCGCCGAAACCCCCACAAAATTATCTACAAGCTGCTGAATGGCATAAAACGCAGAGGGAATTGGACAAATCGCCCGCGATTGAGGCACCCCAAACAGTGACTACTGATGTCATGGTACACACAAACCCGCTAGAGTCTCAGAGGTACTCCACACCCCCCTCTCCCGCTGTACGGCCAAAGAACCCCTTGCATGGATCATCGCCCACAAAATACACTCCTTCCCCAAACAACACCACTTCCCCTCTCATGCTACAAATTCAGCGCAACTCTCCATCGCCAACTGCAAAACAAGAGATTCTACAAAACGTCGAAGCTTTCTACTGGCGCGAGTTGCGCAAGTTAAAAGATAAAGAAGAGCAAGATCTGTTCAATTACCGCCACCGACAAATGCAAGTGTACGGCTACGTAGAAGATCCGGTGCTCAGCAGAAGATCTCGCAGCGTATCACCGGGCATTCAGAGAGGCAGGCGCAGTCTTAGCCTGCCGAGAGATGGACGCCCCACTCAACAACCACCCAGACCTCCCGTTCACAATCACGAACCAATCCCAGAAGGCAGGCCGGTGATTGCCAAGAGACCGATTCCTTTACCTACAGATGCCAGACCGGTTCAGCGTAATCCCAACTTCATTCGGAACACGTTCGAGAGAAGTACCATCGGTCCTATCGGACTGAACAGGCCCGATGACTTCCAACGCCATAGGCAAACTACGCCTATCTTTAAGAGGGGTAGCTTAACCGCCCCTCCACCGGAGAGTCCATACCAAATGGGGAAGAAGGTGAGTTTCTCCAGTAATCAAAATGCTACAAGCTGGCCGACCAAGAACGGGTTCACGAAGAGTCCACCGACCAGAAGACTCGATAGAGAGATGCCTCTTGAGGATGACGTCTTTTTACCAAGCTCGCCAGTCGCGCGCGTGGAGTACGTGCAGCGATCGCCACAGTACCATCCAGACTATACTGACGGAAGGGGAGTGAGGCAAAATGAACCAGTGTACGGTAACGGGTCGAAAAAAATCACGGTTTCGAATAAAGTGTGCGACATTTACGGACAGATTCACGATTCTAGACAGAGACCCGCGGAATCTCCGCGCGATTACGGTTGGAACCAGGACGAAGCGCCGTCGTACGGTCAAATTCGAAATAGTGGATTAGTGTACGGTCAGTTACAAGCTCCCAATGGTTACAATTCGGTACGTCCAAACCCTCAACAGAATTTTGTACGCGGTAGCAGGCTTACTGCCAGTGTTAACGATATGTACAGACGCTATCCGGCAGAAAATGTTCAATATGTAGAGTCGCGTCCCAAAGGTGGTGGAGTGCGGTACTTCCACGAGCAGGGACCTCAACGACCCTTGCCTCCCGTACCAGAAAGACACGATTCCCGTGCAATTTCGGTTAGAAAGTTAATTCGCGGTTATGTTCCTGTGTCTGATAACGAAAGTGGTTCCGAAGCTGGAGAAGTGCAACGAATACTTCGATCCGGTTCCCAGCAAAGAAGCTATAATGTAATCGGTAAGTGAATAAACGTACTAAGGGTGCTAGTTTTGAGGAAGAACTTTGCCACCATTTTTTGTTTTGTTTTTAAAGTTTTTGTTAATAAGTCTGAACAGTCGAGGTGCTATTTTGCCATATAAAAGTTCTTTCTTAAAATGTTCCTTGTTGAAGTCGCTATTAGGCTTAGTTCTGTTGTACCATCTGTAGCTTTATTCATTTTGAGCAGTATTTTCACATCTACAAATATTATTTATAATTTTTTACTTTTATTATACCTAAATTACTTTTTATATATGACTTGTAAGCTTATTGTACTATTCCGAACGAACGTATTGTTAATAAAACTTTTTCAAATAAAATGATGCGTTTTATTTACTAATCCTAATAGCATCTTCATTGCTTTTTTAACTTTTTTTTAACGTTATGCATGCATTCTCATATTGAAGAGAATCGCCGAAAGGTAAGTAATTTTGCACGTCCGGCTATACAAGGTCTAAAAACATAAATTTTGAAAGTGCAGTAATAGTCACGCAAATTACATCAACGGATATGAATGAGTTCGATGAGATTGACACATTTATATTGATGGAGCGATAAATACTCTCAATTTATGGATGTAGCATTCACTACGTAAATTCCGTTCTAGTTTCCTATAATTAGTGTTATATTGGCAATTATTTTAATTCACTGGGTTATTACGTTCATTGAGTAGGACGTGGACATGCGATTTCGCATCTTATACAGTTTGTAAATTAAGAAATTAGGTCTGAGCGACGGTTTGACAAAATCTCCTAGTAATTTTCTACATTTTTTGTTTTATTTGTTTATATTTTACTGCTCGCTGTACCTAATTTGTCTCTTCCTGGTAAAAGCATTACATTTTCAAAGCGACTATAAATTGTAGTATATTTTTAGAATTGTTTATAGTTTAAAGCATTAAAGTATTATCACTGTAATAGCTCGTTAAGGGTAGGATAGAAAATTTAAAAAGCGTTGTTAGGTCGCAATTTCTAAAATATTGTAGTTTATGAAACAGTTGTGATGGGACTGGAAAAATTCAATATGGGGCATACGGAAGGTATTTTTAATAATAATTTTGTTATTTCCTTACCCCATTTTTTATAAATAACTCCGAGGAGAACTCTGATCTCTTTTAACGTCTTTGGCAAAGAATTATTGGACATTCTTTGGCATGCTATTGGTTGATCCACAAGGTCATTCTGAATCTGCAAATAGAAACAATAATAATTAGAGGTTAGAAAAAACGTTAGAACAAATTTTTTACTTCCTTACCAGGGGTTGCAAAATAACGGCAACTTTGTTTTTTATTTTATTTTAATAAGTAAATTGAACTATTACTAAAACAACAGAAAGTAGAATTTATACCCAGATCATTTTCAATTTACACAACTTTTAATTTTCTTAAAGATTTCGTCATGAAGTTGCCTACATACGTGCAGTTTACAAATGTACTAAATTAATGTACTAAACGATATATACAACAAGAGTTAATCCCTCGCAGGTAAGAAATATTGTGTTGTAAGGGACATCGTGGACGCGACTTTTATGTGCCGTTTTAGAACTGCTTTTTCAGTCTAAAACATAATTAGAAAAGTTATAAGAATTGAAGGCCATAAATGAGTGTCACCACAAAGTAGCATATATTTTAATGAGCAGTTGTAGGATTGCTTGTGGATCCTGTAATCACAGAAACAACAATATATTTCAGGTACTATACAAGTTGAAATCCTAGTAGGTAAAAAATGTCACAATGGGGCCATACATTTTGTGTGATGTAGGTTGCTTGTGGATCCTGAAAAAATAATTAATCAAGGAAACAAAAATAATTCATACACTTTTTTAATCCGCGCAAGCAATACATAATTACCGCGCCAAAGGTGATTTTTCTTCATAACTCTCCAATTTCAACTCGACGCTATTTTTATGTACCTACAGAGCGAAACTTAATTTTCTTCGAGATTTTCTTAAAAAATGGTGTCCTACATTTTGACGTTGTAGGATGGATTGCGAATCGTTTAAACAAAATCAGTCAAAGAAACACAAATATTTGATACACCCTCGTAAGCAATAAATGATTGCCATGCGAGACCCAATTTTCTCAAAAACCCTCATTTTCATTACGACACAGTAATAAATTTCTACGTGCAGTAGTGTAGGATTCCTGCAAGATTTAGATATATTACGGAAGTTTCGACTCTCCCAGACAATAAATTGTTGCCATAACGTGCACTTCCTGAATTGTTCATACCCAAATCTTCAAAATTTTACAATTTTATATGATAGTATTCGCATTGTAGATCCTGTAAATAAAAATCAGCGAATTAAGAATATTTGAAGTAGTAGTGCGAAAGTTGCAACCCTCGAAATGTATGCTCACCGTCCGAGACAATATTTCCTTAAAAATTCTGTAATCTCAGGACGGCGGGCACTTGCTGTTTGTGGATCCTGTAAATAAAACCAAATTTACGAAATATTTAAAATAAAGTTAGAACTCTCCCATGTAATAAATGGAGCAAGAAATGATATAAAGTGGTAAACTTTGTACGCAGTAAATTAGCCATGCGACGGTGAACGTGCTTAAAAACTCTCCAATTTTCGCCCGACGATTCGTTGCATTTTTGCGTGTGCGACGAATTTCGGTGGTTCGCACGCAATTTGCGAGCTTTAAAATTAAACGCAAAATTAAAAAATAAAATTTTATTAAGAACTGAAAGAAAACTCGATAAACTCTACGGCAGTGGTTACAACGGCGGAACCGTCAGCTCGGGCGCTACCAAGGGATTTTGCAACATTGCGCCCTGGTCAAGGTAGGAATGGTGTGGCGGATCGCTCTCGGAAGCCTCTGGCGAACTCAAACGGCAGCTCCAGGAATTGTCAAGGGCGAGCGGCGATCGGCTACTGGTCAATGCTAAAACAAAAGTAAAGCGCACAGCAATGTCCTTAAGCGGGAACGAACGCAACAAAACACAAATTAGCGGTATCTACGGGAAACCAACTGCAGGAAAGCGAAACATCCATCCCCCCCCCCTTATAATTAATGGAACAGGGAGTAACAAAAACCATACCTAGCAATAAATCGGAGCGGTACAAATTACTGTGCAAGAAAAAAAAACAAAAGCTGTAGATACGGTGGTATCTGGAAAGCAAAAATGAAACGGTATGAATGTAAAATAAATTTACAGAAAAGCTCAAAATTACGGTACTTACAAAACGAAGATTGCGAAAGTGCAAAAGGTAGAAAATATCAATTATTTAAATACGGTACGGTTCTCAGAGTAAATTTACGAAAAAGCTCAAAAATTACGGTGCTTACACACGTAACTTGATGCAAAAGGTAAAAAAGATGATAACCTTTCGTTACAACACTCAAACGCACAACGGCGCCCTCCTAACAACGGCTTTATCTTTTATACAATTCGGCTATGCCATGGAGTGAACGACGATTTTGCAGCCGACACAGGATAAAAGATTGCTTGTGGATCCTGTAATTAAAATCAATTAGCTAAATAAGAATATTTAAAGTATTGCGAAAGGGGGAATCCTCTCAAGTAATAAATAGTTACCCTGCGAGATCGAATTTTCAAAAATTGCATAAATTCAGGAGCACGGAGGTTTGAATTTGTATGTGCATTTGCTGCATTGTTTGTGGAACCTGCAATTAAAATCAATTAGCGAAATAAAAATATTTAGGTAGTGCCGAGGGTAGTGTGAAAGGGGAAATCCTCTAAAGCAATAAATTGTTACCATGCGAGATCGAATTTAAAAAAAATTGCATAAATTCAGGAGCACGCAGGTTTGTATTTGTATGTCCATTTGCTGGACTGTTTGTGGAACCTGCAATTAAAATGAATTAGCGAAATAAAAATATTTAGGTAGTGCCGAGGGTAGTGCGAAAGGGGAAATCCTCTCAAGCAATAAATTGTTACCATGCGAGATCGAATTTAAAAAAAATTGCATAAATTCAGGAGCACGCAGGTTTGTATTTGTATGTCCATTTGCTGGATTGTTTGTGGAACCTGCAATTAAAATCAATTAGCGAAATAAAAATATTTAGGTAGTGCCGAGGGTAGTGCGAAAGGGGAAATCCTCTCAAGCAATAAATTGTTACCATGCGAGATCGAATTTTAAAAAAATTGCATAAATTCAGGAGCACGCAGGTTTGTATTTGTATGTCCATTTGCTGGATTGTTTGTGGAACCTGCAATTAAAATCAATTAGCGAAATAAAAATATTTAGGTAGTGCCGAGGGTAGTGCGAAAGGGGAAATCCTCTCAAGCAATAAATTGTTACCATGCGAGATCGAATTTTAAAAAAATTGCATAAATTCAGGAGCACGCAGGTTTGTATTTGTATGTCCATTTGCTGGATTGTTTGTGGAACCTGCAATTAAAATCAATTAGCGAAATAAAAATATTTAGGTAGTGCCGAGGGTAGTGCGAAAGGGGCTTATCCTCTCAAGCAATAAATGGTTACCATGCGAGATAGAATTGTCTAAAAATTGTATAGCCTCAGGAGCACAGTGGTTTGCATTTCTATGTGCATTTGCTGGATTGTTTGTGGAACCTGCAATTAAAATCAATTAGCGAAATAAAAATATTTAGGTAGTGCCGAGGGTAGTGCGAAAGGGGAAATCCTCTCAAGCAATAAATTGTTACCATGCGAGATAGAATTGTCTAAAAATTGTATAGCCTCAGGAGCACAGTGGTTTGTATTTGTATGTGCATTTGCTGCATTGTTTGTGGAACCTGCAATTAAAATCAATTAGCGAAATAAAAATATTTAGGTAGTGCCGAGGGTAGTGCGAAAGGGGCAATCCTCTCAAGCAATAAATTGTTACCATGCGAGATCGAATTTAAAAAAAAATTGCATAAATGCAGGAGCTGTATTTGTATGTTGCAACCGTCACATGCAACAAATGCTTACCATAAAAGTAGCAAATTTTACAAAATTTTTTGGTTTCAGGAGTTCACGATGATTGTTTGTAGGTCCTGTAAGCA